GGCACATTTTGATTTGTCTGTACGCCCGGCAGTGCTCCGCATAGACCCCGTATATGATAACGATGGTATGGAGTACCGGTGCCGAGTGGACTATCGATGGGGCCGTACTATGAGTACGTTCATCACCTTGATTGTTATTGGTATGTGATGTTGTTATATAAAGTTATATAACAACTTTATAATTCATGGTCATGGTTATTAGTTTGTTTGAATGATGATCTAGTTTAATTTCTGTGTATAATTTTGTGTAAGTGATATATTGTACATTTTATTAATTAATTTCAATATAAGTTTTGTAATTTTAATTAATTACCACATGCATTTTTAATTATAACTATAACATTATTAATAACTTATACTTTGCAATAGTTATGTTTGTTGTATTTATAGTTAATGAAATAATGATAATTTAATTAATAATATTTATTTTGACGGTATGTCATATTTCTAGTGCCTCCAAGAAATCTGATAATCAAAAATGAAAGAAATCAAATACAAAACGGTTTGATCGGTCCCTACAATGAGGGCTCGGAGGTTAGACTGTCCTGCGTTTCCGAAGGGGGTTTGTATTAAACAAATACTTAATTTAATGTTTAATTTAATATATCTTTATATTGTATTGTATTGGAGATGAGGTGCAGAGTATATGCCATGCAATCGATATATCAATATATAGCTAGCGATATAATTAATGACACAAATATTTCCGATAACATTCCGGTGCGCACAACATGATTGACTGCCCGGTGCCCTATCCTTCCCACACATCGCACCACTTATTATTATATAATAAATATGTCTAATATATAGATAAATGTGCTTAAGAAAAATAAATATTACTTTTAACTTTTTAATTTATTATTTGTTTAAATATTTTAAAATTGATTTTAAAATAAATATTTTTTATGCAATTAAAACCTTTATCCGTTACTAAAACTGTCGATCAATTTACACATACCGTATTTAGCAGAATGTAGTTGCATGTAATGCTTTTGTATGACTGTAAAAATATACTAATATACATATAACAAATAAAATATTTCACTGCAAATAACATTCATTGCATTGCATTTTAAACACAACAAATGCAGGCAAACCCGCGCCGTATGTTCATTGGTATAGAGATAATGAGCTAATTGATGACACTTATAGCTACGGCACCGGCAATAATACGGCCCATAACGAGCTGTACATCAGTAAACTATCCAGAATTGTGTTCAATAGCGTACTGTCGTGTAGGGCCGGCAATAACGTCAGCAAACCTATCATCTCTCGCGTCACAATCGATATTAACCGTACGTTTAAAATGTTTTTAAAAATAAAATATTTTTTCAATTCTTTGGTTGTTTTGATTGTTTTGTGTGTTTTTAAAATTTGTATTTTTTTAGTCAAACCCATTGATGTAGAGATAGTGAACGCCAGGCATACCCTACAGGCGGGTCGAGAGGTAGAGATGTCGTGCGAGTCACGCGGTAGTCGACCACCAGCTCAAATTACCTGGTACAAAGACAATCACGAGCTCACACATTCTAGGTATATTTATTTTGGTTACATGATGTTTTGAATTTATAATTTTTAGTCAATAATATTTCATATAGCTTTTATTTAGGTTAAATACAAATTGTTATATTCTTAAACAGAATATCAAGTAGAAATTACTAGTAATATTGCACATCATAAGTAAATAACTAAAGTTTCTATTTAACGTTATATACTATAAAGATATAATGTTAGTTACTATTAATTTTATAAGATTAGGGCACATTTATTAAATTTATTGATTATCTAACTTGATAAAAAATAGGAGTTTCTTAAACTCCATGCATTGTACAGTGTAGAGTACTTTAGTAACTATACTAAAAGTTGATATATATTTGTCAGGGAGAGTATATCACACGACGGAAATGTGACCACAAGCCTTCTGAAGCTGAATCCCCAGGTGCTCGACAACGGAGCTTATCTGTCATGTCGTGCGGAAAATCTGCGATT